GATATATATTCCACAGAGTGATACCAGTTCTTATCACATGAATGGTGAGTGATATATATTCCACAGAGTGATACCAGTTCTTATCACATGAATGGTGAGTGATATATATTCCACAGTATTACTGCACTGATACCAGTTCTTATCACATGAATGGTGAGTGATATATATTCCACAGAGTGATACCAGTTCTTATCACATGAATGGTGAGTGATATATATTCCAAATTGAGTGATGCTTTAGATATATAATTGTAACAGTACAATAGTATCATATGAATGGTGAGTGATATATATTCCAGGGGTGGAGTGTGATACCAATCTTATCACATGAATGGTGAGTGATATATATTCCACAGAGTGATACCAGTCCTTATCACATGAATGGAATTTTATGCATATGCACAGGTATCAAGTGTTGAAGAGGGGTGTTCAGAGTGTGACTTGTTCCCCAAAACAGACTACAACAATAAGTACTACAGTGTGACTTGATTTAAGGGGTGGTAAATCAGAGTGTGACTTGTTAACAGACTACAGGGGTGGTATCAGTGTGTGACTTGTTAACAGACTACAGGGGTGGTATCAGAGTGTGACTTGTTAACAGACTACAGGGGTGGTATCAGAGTGTGACTTGTTAACAGACTACAGGGGTGGTATCAGAGTGTGACTTGTTAACAGACTACAGGGGTGGTATCAGAGTGTGACTTGTTAACAGACTACAGGGGTGGTATCAGAGTGTGACTTGTTAACAGACTACAGGGGTGGTATCAGAGTGTGACTTGTTAACAGACTACAGGGGTGGTATCAGAGTGTGACTTGTTAACAGACTACAGGGGTGGTATCAGAGTGTGACTTGTTAACAGACTACAGGGGTGGTATCAGAGTGTGACTTGTTAACAGACTACAGGGGTGGTATCAGAGTGTGACTTGTTAACAGACTACAGGGGTGGTATCAGAGTGTGACTTGTTAACAGACTACAGGGGTGGTATCAGAGTGTGACTTGTTAACAGACTACAGGGGTGGTATCAGAGTGTGACTTGTTAACAGACTACAGGGGTGGTATCAGAGTGTGACTTGTTACAGGGGTGGTATCAGAGTGTGACTTGTTAACAGACTACAGGGGTGGTATCAGAGTGTGACTTGTTAACAGACTACAGGGGTGGTATCAGAGTGTGACTTGTTAACAGACTACAGGGGTGGTATCAGAGTGTGACTTGTTAACAGACTACAGGGGTGGTATCAGAGTGTGACTTGTTAACAGACTACAGGGGTGGTATCAGAGTGTGACTTGTTAACAGACTACAGGGGTGGTATCAGAGTGTGACTTGTTAACAGACTACAGGGGTGGTATCAGAGTGTGACTTGTTAACAGACTACAGGGGTGGTATCAGAGTGTGACTTGTTAACAGACTACAGGGGTGGTATCAGAGTGACTTGTTAACAGACTACAGGGGTGGTATCAGAGTGTGACTTGTTAACAGACTACAGGGGTGGTATCAGAGTGTGACTTGTTAACAGACTACAGGGGTGGTATCAGAGTGTGACTTGTTAACAGACTACAGGGGTGGTATCAGAGTGTGACTTGTTAACAGACTACAGGGGTGGTATCAGAGTGTGACTTGTTAACAGACTACAGGGGTGGTATCAGAGTGTGACTTGTTAACAGACTACAGGGGTGGTATCAGAGTGTGACTTGTTAACAGACTACAGGGGTGGTATCAGAGTGTGACTTGTTAACAGACTACAGGGGTGGTATCAGAGTGTGACTTGTTAACAGACTACAGGGGTGGTATCAGAGTGTGACTTGTTAACAGACTACAGGGGTGGTATCAGAGTGTGACTTGTTAACAGACTACAGGGGTGGTATCAGAGTGTGACTTGTTAACAGACTACAGGGGTGGTATCAGAGTGTGACTTGTTAACAGACTACAGGGGTGGTATCAGAGTGTGACTTGTTAACAGACTACAGGGGTGGTATCAGAGTGTGACTTGTTCACAGACTACAGGGGTGGTATCAGAGTGGTGGTATCAGAGTGTGACTTGAGAGAGTTAACAGACTACAGGGGTGGTATCAGAGTGTGACTTGTTAACAGACTACAGGGGTGGTATCAGAGTGTGACTTGTTAACAGACTACAGGGGTGGTATCAGAGTGTGACTTGAGAGAGTTAACAGACTACAGGGGTGGTATCAGAGTGTGACTTGTTAACAGACTACAGGGGTGGTATCAGAGTGTGACTTGTTAACATACTACAGGGGTGGTATCAGAGCGTGACTTGTTAACAGACTACAGGGGTGGTATCAGAGTGTGACTTGTTACAGGGGTGGTATCAGAGTGTGACTTGTTAACAGACTACAGGGGTGGTATCAGAGTGTGACTTGTTACAGGGGTGGTATCAGAGTGTGACTTGTTAACAGACTACAGGGGTGGTATCAGAGTGTGACTTGTTAACAGACTACAGGGGTGGTATCAGAGTGTGACTTGTTAACAGACTACAGGGGTGGTATCAGAGTGTGACTTGTTAACAGACTACAGGGGTGGTATCAGAGTGTGACTTGTTAACAGACTACAGGGGTGGTATCAGAGTGTGACTTGTTAACAGACTACAGGGGTGGTATCAGAGTGTGACTTGTTAACAGACTACAGGGGTGGTATCAGAGTGTGACTTGTTAACAGACTACAGGGGTGGTATCAGAGTGTGACTTGTTAACAGACTACAGGGGTGGTATCAGAGTGTGACTTGTTAACAGACTACAGGGGTGGTATCAGAGTGTGACTTGTTACAGGGGTGGTATCAGAGTGTGACTTGTTAACAGACTACAGGGGTGGTATCAGAGTGTGACTTGTTAACAGACTACAGGGGTGGTATCACAGTGTGACTTGTTAACAGACTACAGGGGTGGTATCAGAGTGTGACTTGTTAACAGACTACAGGGGTGGTATCACAGTGTGACTTGTTAACAGACTACAGGGGTGGTATCACAGTGTGACTTGTTAACAGACTACAGGGGTGGTATCAGAGTGTGACTCGAGAGAGTTAATAGACTACAGGGGTGGTATCAGAGTGTGACTTGTTAACATACTACAAGAGTGGTATCAGAGTGTGACTTGAGAGAGTTAATAGACTACAGGGGTGGTATCAGAGTGTGACTTGAGAGAGTTAATAGACTACAGGGGTGGTATCAGGGTGGGACTTGTGAGGATTTACTGCTAGTGATAGGTCCTTGTCACGACTTTAGGGGTATGGTTTTAAGGGGTTTGTACTTAAGGGGGTAGGTGTGGGACACAAAGGTGGCCATATATCTCTTATATCAATAATATTGACTTGTCACAGCATTAAGTATAGTTTTTTTTCATGTTAACTACCTCTCCCAAAATTGAATACAAAAGTGACTCAAGGGCCAAGACAGAAATTGACCAGATCTCAGAAGGTCTTTATCTCCCACTTGAACCCCAAAGGGACTTTATCTACCACCTGGACCTCAGCAGGACTTTATCTACCACCTGGACCTCAGAGGGACTGTATCTTCCTCCTAGATCTCAGAGGGACTTTATCTCCTTCCTGGATCTATGAGGGAATTTATTTATCACCTGGACCTCAGAGGGACTGTTTTTTTCTCCTAGATCTCAAAGGGACTTTATCTACCACCTGGACCTCAGAGGGACATTATCGACCACCTGGACCCCAAAGGGACTTTATCTACCACCTGGACCTCAGAGGGACTTTATCTACCACCTGGTCCTCAGAGGGACTGTATCTTCCTCCTAGATCTCAGAGTGACTTTATCTCCTTCCTGGATCTCCGAGGGACTTTTTTCCCACCTGGCCCTCAGAAGACCCTTATCTCACATCTGGACCACAAAGGGCCTTGTTTATGTCTTTTGCCTAATTGATGTATGCATCATATATAGCTGTAAACAGGAGACCCTGAAAGCCTGTTTTGTTCATAAATCCCAGGGAGATCTTGGCACCCTTCATTGTGGTGTCTTCATGGGTAATTTAAGTCAGAAATTTTCTCTTCTTTTCTCTTTATATTTTATAGACAGATAAATAAATAATATGGTAATATCAATAAACAGACAACAAATTGTCAAATCCAAGACATCAAGATTTTTTAAACAGTCCAAAGATTGTTTATACATAACTTGTAACTAAGCAGAGTCTACTTATATATAAAGTTTAAGAAGGAATCAGACACAACTGCTCCAGTTATAACACACTTCTACTGTCAAAAGTCCAAGATGGCCACCTGGTAGCTGGTGTTTTTCCAGTCAGCACTGAAATTAGGCATTCATTATTAAAGAGCAAGGGAGGTTTGAGAATGATTCATACAGAACTTCTCAAGTGATGACGAGAATTGTGGTCAGAAGTGCTGTGAAAACACAATTGTATTTCACCTAGAAATCCTGGTTTGATTTCCTTTGCACATGTGAAACAAGAGGCCCATGGGCCTTAACGGTCATCTGACATAAAATACAAGATTTCAAATTTGAACTTGAGAAGAAGTCGAAAATGTGTTTTCAAGATGGCAGCCATGGCGACCATGTTGGATTTCGGACCAACCCGAAATTAACAAACTTTGGTCAGGATCATGTCACGATCATTTCAGATAAGTTTCAGCTCAATGAGACATGTAGAACTTGAGAAGAAGCTGAAAATGTTTACGATGGTCGACATACGACAGACGACGTCGGACAAAAGGCAATCGCAATAGGTCATCAGACCCTTTGGTCAGATGACCTAAAAATATGGGAGTCGTCCACATGCCCAAATGGGATTTTAACCAGTACTGCAGTTTCTTCCCACAGTAAGAACACATGCCATTTGGACCAATTAGAGTGATCAATATCAAGCATGTTTTCCAATTATTGTAAAATACATCAACACTATTTTATATAGACGAAGGCAGATCTGAACAACCAAATATCTGATGATGCCAACAAAAGGTTACTATGGCTGACAGCCGGACAACACCATGCCATCAAAAAATAAACAAAGCTTACGCAGTGCACCCAATTTTATTTCTGACATTTAACATCATTGAACAAAAATCATCAAATGAACAAATTATGCATTGGAACACAGCCTGTTGACAAACAAATTCTTAATCTGATTACTAGTTTTTACATTTCTTAATTTGATGAGGTTCTGTTCGCTGTAACAAGAAGAAATGTACCTGGCAAGCAATAAACAAGTGTATACAAATATTCTACAGTATTTCTGGCATGCATGCTAGGTGTATGAGGAGACATGAAGTGAGAAGTGATGATTCAACAACCTGAATCAGCTAAAACATGATGTATCACAAATTTCTGAGGAGTGACATCTGTGTCCTCGTTACGGGGACAGGTATTCCATCAAAAACATCATCTGAACATGACACTGAAATCAATTAAAGCTTGTCCCATATTAGTTATTTAAAATACAGCTTGATAAATATTTAAGTATATGGGCCTTCAAGCAACTACTGTAAATAAAGTAGTGTATTTTGATTTTTTCTTCGAACAAATTATTTTTATGCGATACTGATGTAGTTTGGGAAATTGGCATGATATTAAGAGGAGTTTAGGTTAAGAAAATGATATTAAACAATCATGTAGAAGATAGAGGCTAATAAAGGTGAAATCTGCTGTGGTAGCAAAACAATAACACCAAGTATTATGACACTACTACCAAAAATAACTAACCTTTCAGATATAACATGAAATATTTTTTGTGTAGATTTTGTCATTTTTTTGGTGACAAACAAACCACAGAAATAAAAATTAAAATTAAAAGAATAACGTTAAAGGTTTAAACCCCAAAAGTTAGTCACCATTTCGTATTACAGAGTACGGCAAGAAAAGGATATTTTACGAAATCCAACCTCCTCTTTACGAATTTTATATGAGCATGTTGGAGGGATTCTGAATTAGTATATCTTTCATATCAAGAAATAGCACTTTTTTTTTCACTCATAAAATACATTATAACAAATATATTTTGATAATATTCAGCCTCATTTACAAACATAACAAGCTGTATGTCACACATACAGTAACAAATTATACAACTGACAAAAAAAAACATATGCGGTACATGTTCTTTATATGCCAATACTGATCTCTTGGCTCATGCGGACCTGAACAATTATCTGTTTTCAGACCAATTTAGCATAAAATATAGTTTTTAATATTCATAAAATATACATTAAAAAAAATCTACTTTACCGTTTTTTTTATTTTTTACTTTACCATTATTTGATTTAGCAAGTATTAATAATGATACCGCTAAATAATTTATCACGATTTTGCCGAATTCAATGTATATTTAAAGATAGACGTTTTTTTTTCTCCTTCAGGATCATAATGAGCTGAATCTCTTGCATTTTTTTCACCATCAAGGACATTGACTTAAAGTCACATGATAGATTATGATCATGTGATTCAATTTGAAGCTTAAGGAATGCTTGCACCAAAAGCTGCATCATTGACATGTGGTTGTCATTTACACTGTATTTATTGATCAAACAACCGTTACATGAACAAAGGGTTGAAACAACAAATAAATAACAAATTAAACCAAATCTAAACCTGTATCAAGAATCTGACATGAGTAACTATTTATAAGAGACTTATGAAATTTTTCATTTTAACAAGCCTCTGATGAGAAAAAATGAAAAAAATTATGCTTGGTTTCATAGATTTCACAATAAATGTGTAAATGAATGTGTAAGATTCTGTGTATCATGGAACTCTTATTTGATTTTTTGGAAATTTGTGAAAACAGCATGCTGTAAGATTGATACAAAATCAAGCATGAGGATATTAACAACCTTTATATGTAAATGATGTCATGACATCACAAAGGAAACCATCAGCCAATCAAATCTCTGTTAGGTCATATGACATGTGTGTTATACAACAATGGATGTAATTACAATAACATGGTAGTGATGTGATAAAGTTAATTGAAAATAGATTTCCTGTCAATCACAATTATAAGATTTATTTAGTATTAAGTAACCAGAACATTCTTGACAGTTAAAAATTATACAGAAAATAGGCATCAAAATGCGGAATGATTAACAAATAATTCCACCACACCACATATTTTGCATTGTGAAATATGATCAACCTGGCTTTTAAAACAAAGTTTGTATGCACCAACAATCTTAGTAATGAATAACAAAGTAAGTGTAACTACAACACTATATTCTGCATTACTAAAATCAATATTTACTTTCTAATAATAGTAATATGCCATAAAAAGATATTAAATTTTGCAAGGAAGAGAAGTTGGCAAATTTTGAAGAAATTACTGATGAGTTACCTCCCTTAAGGAAATATACACCTTAAAACATAAGACATGTACCCAGAAAGTTACTTCCCTTGAACAGCTAGATTCTTGAACAATAGACTTGTAACTAGAGAGTTACCTCCCTTTGTTAGCTCAACTCCCATTTTAAATGTGTAACTTGATAGTTACCCCCCTTGGTTAACTAAACATCCATATCAGATGTGTAACTAGAAAGTTACCTCCCTTGGTTAGATAAACATCCATATCAGATGCGTAACTTGAGAGTTACCTCCCTTGAATAGCTATATTTTGAAATGTAACATGTGTAACTGGAGAATTATTGTCAGAAGTTACCTATATATCCTTAAACATTACAGATGTAATTCAAGAGTTACCTGCCTTAAGTAACTATAAAATTCTAAGCCTTTGAACTTGTAACTATAGAGTAAGCTCCCTTGAGTAGTTAATGCCTGGTTTTAGACCTTCAATTGTTGTAACTAGAGTTATCGTATTTATCACCATTAAAAACCTCAACCATAGCCATGTCTGTTTTCTCTGATTATCTTGGACACCTGTTACATTCATTTTAAAATCCACAGCCACGGTTACAAAATAGGTTCACACAAAGCAAAAACTTCAGGGCACAAAATAGCAAAATTTGACATCTGTAAAACCCTGCCTGCACAGAATACAAAACCTGTAGTTAAGCTACGATACACATATTTACAATTTATTTTTTTATATTTTTATTAATTTTTTTTTTTAATTTAATTTTTTATTTATTTATTTATTTAATCTTCTCAGTCTGAGATTTTGTTACATTGTTAGCTTCAAACTGTAAAGCAATGTATTGTTATACCAGTTTTTATATAGTGTGTATTCTTCCTTGCCAAAATGATACTATAAGCAATCAGATAATCTGATCTGGTGCAGGCAGCATTAAATAGCAAAATCACTTTCTATTCTGAAACAAGCTTTCAATTTAGAATATTTCTTTATAAATTGGAAAAAAAAACAATATTTGAAAAAGAGTGGAAATATTGTAACCCTGATGTTTATGAAAGACAATATGAAAGACAACTGACAATATCAATCACATACATACATGTACACTCACAATGATCCCATTTTTATCACACAGACTTCCTCCATCCACCGACAAACAGCTGTCACCGGAATCTACTTCCTTTCTACCTAGATACACTGTAATCCTTCCTGACATCATTACATATGTTATATATATTTATGTGAAGTAGGAACATAATTAGAGAAAAAATAGAATTGTAACTGATGAACAAGCTAATTCACCTTCCATAGGCTTCAGAAATCAAAACATGTCTCTATCTTATGATTGTGTTACAAACTTATATCAAAAACTCAAAGTGTTTATAGCTGTCAATTGATTTTCTGAAATTCTATGAGAGAGCCATATTCATTATTTGAAGAAAATCTTAAATCAAATTTTGAGCATTTAAATTTTTCAGATGTTGACAAGAGGAATGCATCATTTATTCAATAAAAGATTTTAAAAGTTCCCAATGTTTCAACTATCAGCTTGTAACTATTTGGTTTCTTTTTAAATGCTGAGAAATGTTATTGGCCAATTTCAAAACTTTCGAATTTCAAGTTAGATATAATGTATACAGGGATATCCTCACATGAAACCCTCCATTTTCACAATGAAACACTTTATTTTCACAATGAAACACTTTATTTTCACAATGAAACTCTTTATTTTCACAATGAAACTCTTTATTTTCACAATGAAACTCTTTATTTTCACAATGAAACTCTTTATTTTCACAATGAATCTTTCCATTTTCTCACATGAAACTCTTTATTTTCTTACATGAACTCTTTCATTTTCACACATAAAACCCTCCATTTTCACACATAAAACCCTTCATTTTCTCACATATAACCCTTCATTTCCACACATGATTCTATTTTTACACATGAAATCCTTCATTTTTATTCTAAATTGAATTTATACATGGAAAACACATACCAAAATTTAATGACTATTTTCATGATCATGAGAAGGCAAGGTAACTCAAAATATTACAATCTCTTGGAAAAAAATCTATCACATGAATTAAAACATGTGAGATGGGAATCCAGCACATGAATTAAAACATGTGAAATGGGAATTTGACATGTGAAACAACACAGGCAAAATGTGATGCCAACAAGATGTAAATATGTAAGAGCAAGTACAGTTCCTCGGGGCTCTCCACTGGTCTATTGTATCCATCCTCTAGGGCCTCACACATCCTAGTTGTAGAGATTCTCGTTTTCTTCATCTTTAATTATTTTCAGCAGATTTCGCCTGTAAATACAAGTACAACCAGTTTACTAATACTGACCGTCCATCAGATAGCCATACAACGTTAAAGGAGGAGTGCCAGTTTGGGCCTTCTGGTGGCCATGACGAATACTTTTTATTTTTTTTTCTATTAAAAGCTTGAGGTCAGGCAGTAATGACATGACATTAATCTAAGGTCAGCTCAAGGCCGTTCAGTTGTTATAGGGGGGTGGGGGGACAAAGGGGGGATCAAATTCATAATTATTGCAATAATTATCAAACTAAAATTTGTTGTTGGCTCAAATTTACTTAAATACAAATCCTCAATCAAAGAAAGTAAAACGCATACTGTAAGTCACATGATGTCATCCAAACCACACAAAGGCTGTACAAAAGTCACATGATGTCATCCAAACCACACAAAGGCTGTACAAAAGTCACATGATGTCATCTAAACCACACAAAGGCTGTACAAAAGTCACATGATGTCATTCAAACCACACAAAGGCTTTACAAAAGTCACATGATGTCATCCAAACCACACAAAGGCTGTACAAAAGTCACATGATGTCATCCAAACCACACAAAGGCTATACAAAAGTCACATGATGTCATCCAAACCACACAAAGGCTATACAAAAGTCACATGATGTCATCCAAACCACACAAAGGCTATATGAAAGTCACATGATGTCATCCAAACCACACAAAGGCTATACAAAAGTCACATGATGTCATCCAAACCACACAAAGGCTGTACAAAAGTCACATGATGTCATCCAAACCACACAAAGGCTATACAAAAGTCACATGATGTCATCCAAACCACACAAAGGCTGTACAAAAGTCACATGATGTCATCCAAACCACACAAAGGCTATATGAAAGCCACATGATGTCATCCAAACCACACAAAGGCTGTACAAAAGTCACATGATGTCATCCAAACCACACAAAGGCTATACAAAAGTCACATGATGTCATCCAAACCACACAAAGGCTATACAAAAGTCACATGATGTCATCCAAACCACACAAAGGCTATACAAAAGTCACATGATGTCATCCAAACCACACAAAGGCTGTACAAAAGTCACATGATGTCATCCAAACCACACAAAGGCTATACGAAAGTCACATGATGTCATCCAAACCACACAAAGGCTATACAAAAGTCACATGATGTCATCCAAACCACACACAGGCTATATGAAAGTCACATGATGTCATCCAAACCACACAAAGGCTATACAAAAGTCACATGATGTCATCCAAACCACACAAAGGCTGTACAAAAGTCACATGATGTCATCCAAACCACACAAAGGCTATATGAAAGTCACATGATGTCATCTAAACCACACAAAGGCTTTACAAAAGTCACATGATGTCATCCAAACCACACAAAGGCTATATGAAAGTCACATGATGTCATCTAAACCACACAAAGGCTGTACAAAAGTCACATGATGTCATCTAAACCACACAAAGGCTGTACAAAAGTCACATGATGTCATCCAAACCACACAAAGGCTATACAAAAGTCACATGATGTCATCCAAACCACACAAAGGCTGTACAAAAGTCACATGATGTCATCCAAACCACACAAAGGCTATACAAAAGTCACATGATGTCATCCAAACCACACAAATGCTATACAAAAAAAGTCACATGATGTCATCCAAACCACACAAAGGCTGTACAAAAGTCACATGATGTCATCCAAACCACACAAAGGTCACATGATGTCATCCAAACCACACAAAGGCTTTACAAAAGTCACATGATGTCATCCAAACCACACAAAGGCTGTACAAAAGTCACATGATGTCATAAAAACCACACAAAGGCTGTACAAAAGTCACATGATGTCATCCAAACCACACAAAGGCTGTACAAAAGTCACATGATGTCATCCAAACCACACAAAGGCTGTACAAAAGTCACATGATGTCATCCAAACCACACAAAGGCTATACAAAAGTCACATGATGTCATCCAAACCACACAAAGGCTGTACAAAAGTCACATGATGTCATCCAAACCACACAAAGGCTATACAAAAGTCACATGATGTCATCCAAACCACACAAAGGCTATACAAAAGTCACATGATGTCATCCAAACCACACAAAGGCTATACAAAAGTCACATGATGTCATCCAAACCACACAAAGGCTATACAAAAGTCACATGATGTCATCCAAACCACACAAAGGCTATATGAAAGTCACATGATGTCATCCAAACCACACAAAGGCTATACAAAAGTCACATGATGTTATCCAAACCACACAAAGGCTATACAAAAGTCACATGATGTCATCCAAACCACACAAAGGCTATACAAAAGTCACATGATGTCATCCAAACCACACAAAGGCTATACAAAAGTCACATGATGTCATCCAAACCACACAAAGGCTATACAAAAGTCACATGATGTCATTCAAACCACACAAAGGCTTTACAAAAGTCACATGATGTCATCCAAACCACACAAAGGCTGTACAAAAGTCACATGATGTCATTCAAACCACACAAAGGCTTTACAAAAGTCACATGATGTCATCCAAACCACACAAAGGCTATACAAAAGTCACATGATGTCATCCAAACCACACAAAGGCTATACCAAGAAAAGAGTTTTTCCCGAAGTGCACTTGAAAGCCACACAGTGACTATGTGATGTTGTATTGAGATTATGTGTTCAAAAATAGGTTCACAATGGTGTCATGTGATCTGCCGATGGTATAAAAACCTTTGACCTACCATCCCAGTAGCACTGTTAACTGTCATGCCCAGATCCCAAAATAACTATTTTAAATCTAATTCCTAAAACCGTTTTATAAACAATCCTTTAAAATTGGGTTTTTAGACATTAGTTCTGAGGACTGACAACAGGAAGTGATGTGAGACTGGCCATTCATTGGTCTATGTTACCCTGACACAATAAATACTTAAGCTATACAAATTTGGATGTCTTCACTGGCTTAATGGTACCAACTCGATCACATTGTATGATAATAGTTTTAACGGTTGATGACCCTAATGACCTTTTACGTGTTGACAGGCCATTAAGAATGTCATAACAATAATTGTATGATAATACAATGGCTACACACCAGCATTGTGAGGACATTATATAGTCGTGTTGCTCTCCTAAAACAATGTAATGACTTCTCCATTCCTTTGTATTGTCTTTGTGAGAGTTAAATGCTCAGAGGCACCAATGATCATGCGAGGTAAACACAAAGATGATACAATTTGACAAGATGTCTTCATAATGGACTTCACAGAGGCAAGATCAACACATGAATTCAATACAACAAAGGACCTTCACCTTGTCTGTCACCAAATTTTTTGAAATGTCAAAGATTATGTTGTCACTAATGAGGTTGTTGCCGGGGCCTGATGATATGATGACTTGAAATAGCTTAACAAGTGACCCAAAGATCTTACGATCACAACCTTATATGAACATTTCATTAATTGTGTGTCCATCTTTGCTCAATTACGGGACGATGTGACACAAGCATTAGGGGAGACAACTAGTGGATATAGGTAAGAATTAATATGGTTACAAATCTCGTTATGTACATGTACATAATTCCATGTAACACAGGGGAGATAATGCAAATTGACATAGGGTTGGTTTAAAGGGCATCAGATAAAAAAAAATAACTAAATGCTGACAGCAAACCAAGGGGAGATAACTAGATATTATTGACGTGTAACAAAGAAGAGATAGATGAATAAAATGAAACAGATCACTTATAATGATAACTACAAATATGTAGACCCACCTGTATGTGAAGAGGTAGTAAAGGGGAATAACTGTGTGTATCAAAGTAAATAAGGGCAACAAACCTGTGTACATTCATAGGGGGTACGCTTTCCAAACTTGCTCCAGAAGGTGACCTTAGCCCGTGTACAATGTCCATTCCTCTGGTCGAAACACTGACACTCATCAAATGGTGGGCTGTATAGGTGCAGAGACACAGCTTTGTCAGAGTGGCTTGGGTTCTCCACACGGTGCAGCCCAAGTTCATCTACAACACAACATCACATGATTATACCTTCAACCGTATCACCTGGTCCCTACTGCTCAAAGTTTGGTTAGAGTTCACCAGTGGAAAAATTTAATGGAAAATTGATGCTCAAAAATGTAAATGGATCGTAGGGAGGGCGGAATTGTTTTTTTTTTTTTTTTTTTGAATCGTTTGTTGTTGGGATACAAAGATGGGTGTAGGTACTGTATTTGTATACTACAATCTACAACTGCAAAATGCAAGAATGTTCTTGATTCGGTTCAGCTCAGGATTTAAAACTTTCACTTGCTATTGGTAAACTCTTAACGAGCTTTCAGTTACTTTACACTGATCTTCAATGATTTTTGTATATATGTAACCGGTCTAGTAGTATACAGGCCTTCAATATCAAAATCTTTATAAACAAGATCCAAACATCCGTTAAGATGATGTTCCTCATTCAAAACAGAAATGATCACCAGTTTGGGGACCATTGTCATGGATAGTTGGTGCACAGGTTAACAAACAAGTTCTTATCTATCAAGAAGAAAAACAAAGAGGTGGAGGGTGGGGGGACACGGGAACACATGACATCAAGGTCAAAGTAATGGGCTTATAACAGGTTGATATTTATATAGGTCAGCAATATTCAGCACAGTCTCTATCAACCTTAGTTGATTTTTATATAGGTCAGCAATATTCAGCACAGTCTCTATTGACCTTAGTAGATATTTATATGGGTCAGCAATATTCAGCATAGCAATCTTACCACAGATATAGGCTGTTTCGTTTTTATTGAATCTTGTCGTTTCTATACAGGTCATTTCTTTTTCGTCCTCGGACTCTGGCCACTTAAACAGCTGCTCCTGTACACCACCATCAAGGATCTTCATGAAACAATGGGAGTTGGCATGTGAGTGAATGCTGCTTCCTTGCGACTCATTCCAACATAGTATCATGAGATTAAATTTTCCATTCCCCTCATCCACCAAGTTTCGTGTGTATCTGTCCAGACAAAATAAAATATGGTTAGACATAGGGTATGATAACATTGAAGACTTTCTGTTCTTCCATCAAGACCTTGGTGAATCTGTCAAGACCAAATTAAACATTTTATAATGATACATATTCCTTCTTGGTTCAGCCTTCACTGACACCTCACATTAACAGCCTTCACTGACACCTTACATTAACAGCCTTCACTGACACCTTACATTAACAGCCTTCACTGACACCTTACATTAACAGCCTTCACTGACACCTCACATTAACAGCCTTCACTGACACCTCACATTAACAGCCTTCACTGACACCTTACATTAACAGCCTTCACTGACACCTCACATTAACAGCCTTCACTGACACCTCACATTAACAGCCTTCACTGACACCTCACATTAACAGCCTTCACTGACACCTCACATTAACAGCCTTCACTGACACCTCACATTAACAGCCTTCACTGACACCTCACATTAACAGCCTTCACTGACACCTTACATTAACAGCCTTCACTGACACCTCACATTAACAGCCTTCACTGACACCTTACATTAACAGCCTTCACTGACACCTTACATTAACAGCCTTCACTGACACCTCACATTAACAGCCTTCACTGACACCTCACATTAACAGCCTTCACTGACACCTCACATTAACACCTTACATAAACAGCCTTCACTGACACCTTACATTAACAGCCTTCACTGACACCTCACATTGACACCTTACATTAACAGCCTTCACTGATATACACCTTACTGACAGACATTAACACCATTAACAGCCTTCACTGACACCTTACATTAACAGACACCACTTAACACCTTGACATCCATTAACAGCCTTCCTCAACTTCAGTAACACACCTTGACACACCTTATTAACAGCCTTCCTTGACTGACACCTCAACATTAACAGCCTTCACTGACATCCTCCCCTCAACTTCAGTAACACACCTTGACATCCTCCCCTCAACATTAACAGTCACTTGAGCAACTTCAGTAACAGTCACTTGACCTTGACATCCTCCCCTCAACAGTAACAGTCACTTGACCTTGACAGCTAACGCTCAACTGCAGTAACAGTCACTTGACCTTGACATCCTCCCCTCAACTTCAGTAACAGTCACTTGACCTTGACATCCTCAGCACAACTTTTGTAACAGTCACTTGACCTTGACATCCCCCTCAACTTAAGTAACAGTCACTTGACCTTGACATCCTCCCCTCAACTTCAGTAACAGTCACTTGACCTTGACATCCTCAGCACAACTTCAGTAACAATCATTTGACCTTGGTATCCTCCCCTCAACTTCAGTAACAGTCACTTGACCTTGACATCCTCCCCTCAACTTCAGTAACAGTCACTTGACCTTGACATCCTCCCCTCAACTTCAGTAACAGTCACTTGACCTTGACATCCTCCCCACAACTTCAGTAACAGTCACTTGACCTTGACATCCTCCCCTCAACTTAAGTAACAATCACTTGACCTTGGTATCCTCCCCTCAACTTCAGTAACAGTCACTTGACCTTGACATCCTCCCCTCAACTTCAGTAACAGTCACTTGACCTTGACATCCTCAGCACAACTTTTGTAACAGTCACTTGACCTTGACATCCCCCTCAACTTAAGTAACAGTCACTTGACCTTGACATCCCCCTCAACTTAAGTAACAGTCACTTGACCTTGGTATCCTTCCCTCAACTTCAGTAACAGTCACTTGACCTTGACATCCTCCCCTCAACTTCAGTAACAGTCACTTGACCTTGACATCCTCCCCTCAACTTCAGTAACAGTCACTTGACCTTGACATCCTCCCCTCAACTTCAGTAACAGTCACTTGACCTTGACATCCTCCCCACAACTTCAGTAACAGTCACTTGACCTTGACATCCTCCCCTCAATTTAAGTAACAATCACTTGACCTTGGTATCCTCCCCTCAACTTCAGTAACAGTCACTTGACCTTGACATCCTCCCCTCAACTTCAGTAACAGTCACTTGACCTTGACATCCTCCCCTCAACTTAAGTAACAATCACTTGACCTTGGTATCCTCCCCTCAACTTCAGTAACAGTCACTTGACCTTGACATCCTCCCCTCAACTTCAGTAACAGTCACTTGACCTTGACATCCTCCCCTCAACTTCAGTAACAGTCACTTGACCTTGACATCCTCCCCACAACTTCAGTAACAGTCACTTGACCTTGACATCCTCCCCTCAACTTAAGTAACAATCACTTGACCTTGGTATCCTCCCCTCAACTTCAGTAACAGTCACTTGACCTTGACATCCTCCCCTCAACTTCAGTAACAGTCACTTGACCTTGACATCCTCAGCACAACTTTTGTAACAGTCACTTGACCTTGACATCCCCCTCAACTTAAGTAACAGTCACTTGACCTTGACATCCCCCTCAACTTAAGTAACAGTCACTTGACCTTGGTATCCTTCCCTCAACTTCAGTAACAGTCACTTGACCTTGACATCCTCCCCTCAACTTCAGTAACAGTCACTTGACCTTGACATCCTCAGCACAACTTCAGTAACAATCATTTGACCTTGACATCCCCCTCAACTTAAGTAACAGTCACTTGACCTTGACATCCCCCTCAACTTAAGTTACAGTCACTTGAACTTGACATCCCCCTTAACTTAAGTAACAATCACTTGACCTTGACATCCCCCCTCAACTTAAGTAACAATCACCTGACCTTGACATCAACTCTCAACTTAAGTAACAATCATTTGACCTTGACATCCCCCCTCAACTTAAGTAACAGTCACTTGACCTTGACATCCCCCCTCAACTTAAGTAACAGTCACTTGACCTTGACATCCACCCTCAACTTAAGTAACAATCACTTGACCTCGACATCCCCTCAACTTAAGGAACAATCACTTGACCTTGACATCCCCTCAACTTAAGTAACAATCACTTGACCTTGACATCCACTCAACTTAAGTAACAATCACTTGACCTTGACATGTGTAACACTTTGTCTGAGATGCTATGTTTCTTTATACTTTATACACAAGGAATGAAGTTGCTAGACTGCAGACAATGTTTTGAGTACTGTTGGCACAAACCAACACTAGCATCTTCACAGTGTAAATCCCCTTCTACTTCCTCTTTCACTGTTCTTTCACTGTCCTAGTACTGTCCTGTGTCTGTCCTTTCATTGTCCTGTGTCTGTCCTTTCATTGTCCTGTGTGTCCTTTTATTGTCCTGCATCTGTCCTTTCATTGTCCTGTGTGTCCTTTCATTGTCCTGTGTCTGTCCTTTCATTGTCCTATGTCTGTCCTTTCATTGTCCTGTGTCTGTCCTTTCATTGTCGTATGTCTGTCCTTTCATTGTCCTATGTCTGTCCTTTCATTGTCCTGTGTCTGTCCATTCATTGTCCTGTGTCTGTCCTTTCATTGTCCTGTGTCTGTCCTTTCATTGTCCTATGTCTGTCCATTCATTGTCCTGTGTCTGTCCATTCATTGTCCTATGTCTGTCCTTTCATTGTCCTGTGTGTCCTTTCATTGTCCTGTGTCTGTCCTTTCATTGTCCTATGTCTGTCCTTTCATTGTCCTGTGTCTGTCCTTTCATTGTCCTGTGTCTGTCCTTTCATTGTCCTGTGTCTGTCCTTTCATTGTCCTGTGTCTGTCCTTTCATTGTCCTGTGTCTGTCCATTCATTGTCCTGTGTCTGTCCTTTCATTGTCCTATGTCTGTCCTTTCATTGTCCTGTGTCTGTCCTTTCATTGTCCTGTGTCTGTTCTTTCATTGTCCTGTGTCTGTCCTTTCATTGTCCTGTGTCTGTCCATTCATTGTCCTGTGTCTGTCCTTTCACTGTCCTGTGTCTGTCCTTTCATTGTCCTGTGTCTGTCCTTTCATTGTCCTGTGTCTGTCCTTTCATTGTCCTTTTCATTGTCCTGTGTCTGTCCTTTCATTGTCCTGTGTCTGTCCATTCATTGTCCTGTGTCTGTCCTTTCACTGTCCTGTGTCTTTCCTTTCATTGTCCTATGTCTGTCCTTTCATTGTCCTGTGTCTGTCCTTTCATTGTCCTGTGTCTGTCCTTTCATTGTCCTGTGTCTGTCCATTCATTGTCCTGTGTCTGTATTTTCACTGTCCTATGTCTATCTCTTTATTTGTTTGATTAAATCAGATGGGAATTTTCTATGGTTCTAACACAAAGTAAAGTTTGTGATAATTTGGGAGAACTTCTCCTTAGCTTCAAAAGTTGAACAGATAAATGTTAAAGGAGTAATTCCTAGTGGAAACAATCTTAATAGAATGACCTCTCTAACCTTTGTTTTCATCCCAAGAACTAGATATGGCTGAGCATGTTTATAATATTATAATGATAGGTGTTGATGGCTACCAGACAACATAGCCATTCTTCAGACAACTGGCTTAAATAATAAGCCTAGAGTTGTACCGTCAATAATATCTGTATAGTTACCAAACCTGTATTAATTTATATTAAGATAAACTATCACACATGAGTATGACATAAATGATAGACATCAAATGTCAGTTAAAAATGAAACAGGCTATACTGACCTTCACCTTTACTTTCCTGACTTTGGAGGGTGTGTGTTATACAAGTGATATGATTGGTTTATACATTTGGACTCCTGCCAGAGAATTGGGGAGAGCATGTTCGCTGCATGAAAGCTGTGTACAGCTGTTGATTCCCTTAAACAGATCTATTTCTGGTCATAACCTCCTCCATCTTTCGATGATCGTGACCAGTCATGTAAGACAATGTCACATTTGTGTAACACATGTACTTAAAATACAGCATAGGCAAACAGGTGATACACAGAAAATTTCCATGGAGATAAAGAATTGAAAAGTACTGTTTAAATAAACTGCTTAAAAGATACATATTCAACAACAAAAAATTAAAAATCAATAACTTCCTTGCATTTCACAAACCAGATTAAAAAGATTTGAAAATAACCCTAGACAATGATGAGAAAGCTGTTACACATTTTAATTTGAAAA